TGCCGTGACAATATAAACGACACAATAATGCCGTGACATTACCCGCGACACAATAGTGCCGTAACATTAAATGCGACACAATATTTCTGTAACAAAAACCTCGACACAAAAGTGCCGTGACAATATAAACGACACAATAATGCCGTGACATTACCCGCGACACAATAGTGCCGTAACATTAAATGCGACACAATATTTCTGTAACAAAAACCTCGACACAAAAGTGCCGTGACAATATAAACGACACAATAATGCCGTGACATTACCCGCGACACAATAGTGCCGTAACATTAAATGCGACACAATATTTCTGTAACAAAAACCTCGACACAATAGTGCCGTTACAATATAAACGACACAATAAAGCCGTGACCTTAACCTCGACACAATAGTGCCGTAACATTAACCCCTTCAAACTAGTGCCGTGGCCCTAAATTTGTCGAACTGGCATGCTCACCCTATCATTGTCCTTGCGTCAATCGGTCTGCATGTCTGTCACACGAATAAATATTTACCTTTTCTTATAATATTTTCATCGATTGAGTATCTAGTTTTTTATTTTAAATACAAGAATTTCATTGGTCCTTTTTCGTTAGGCTTTCTCACCGCCTCGGACGAATGGAAAATGTATTTCTTCTATCCACAAAAATTAAGTAAAATTAATTTCCGAATCGTTGACGAATATTAGAAAAAGTTTGATCGAATTTCATTTGTCAACGAATTATTAATCAAAACAATTCTTGTGGCTTGTAACCGATGTCAAAATCTACAATCACAAGTCTTTAACGTAAACACGCTCCTCAAAGTCATTGAATACGTATTTCTGCACACACCGACCGCTATGCGCGCGTCGTTTGTTTATGTTCTGTCGTATCTGTCCGTCCGCTGTGGCTGATCAAGTCAGGTGTTAGGGGGCACTGTCCTTGACGAATTCAGGAAGAACTTTACGCTGGGGAGTCCAATTTCAGCGTGGGAATGGAATGAATGCTCTTCAAACGCATTGCGGATTCTCGGCTACTAATTCTGTAGAAGACACGTCAAAACATTCGCTTCGTCCAAAATTCGCAGGGTAAAGAAATGTTTCTTTCGAGGAAATTAAGAAACGCTCTAACAAGTGGGCAAGTTTAGAGTCTCAAAAATATATTTGCGGTTCTATTCAGTGGAAAGTCATTTGGGATGGTGAAAAAACATGTCATGAGCACACCAGTGAACACTTCCTGCCATCAGAAGTGCAGTTATATTATCCCATCATCAGAACTCTTGTATATTCCGCCCCAATCATCAGCACCCCTGTTCTTCCCCTATCATGAGCACAATAGTGCTTCCTTCCTATCAACTTCTTCTTCTCCTTCTATGGCTCTACAGTCCATATTCGGTCCATGACCTCCTCAATTCTCCTCTTCCATTCGGTCCTATTGTTATGTCCTTCCTGTCATCAGCACAACAATGCATGTTTTCTATCATCAGCACAGCAGTGCTTCCTTCATATCATCAGCACAACAATGCATGTTTTCTATCATCAGCAGAATAATGCAAATCTCCTATCATCATCAGAATAATACATGTCTCCTATCATCAGCACAGTAATGCAT